GCTAAACAAAATCATCCATGTCCTCATAATATTCCTAGTTTGATTGCTTGCAAATAAAGCAGTTTAATAAAGGCTCAGATATACAAATGCCACATGCCCATATTGACAGGAGCAAGGGAAAGAAGAACACAGTAATCATGTTAGCTCTATCCCTCAGATTAATTAGCTAGATAAAATGCACATTTACCTCATTCTAGACAGAAAAATATCAATTACCTACCAGCAATTTAGACAGGCACACTACTCCTAAAAGCCAGACCCAGCTAATCCTAATTCACTGGGAAAGATGAGCCCTGCAGCCTTGCAAAGGACAAGCTCCTCCTCCTTCTCCTCAACACTGGGTCACCTTCATTTATCTCCAGAGTTCAGGGAGCTGCTTCAGAGGATGTGGATTGCTATTACTGCCCTTCATAGACCCAAGTGGACCTTCATAGACCTCACTGGAACAGGCTGCCCAGGGAGGTGGTGGAGTCTCCTTCTCTGGAGACGTTCAAGACCTGCCTGGATGCCTACATGTGCTACCTGGTGTAGGGAACCTGCTTTGGCAGGGGGGTTGGACTCGATGATCTCAGGAGGTCCCTTCCAACCCCTACAATTCTGTGAAGTATTTTTGCAGAGAACTCAGCATACCCATAGGTAAGAAAGCCTGCAATCTGGGCTGTTTGATTTAGTTTCACTGTACTTCCACAACTTATGGAAGAGAGCATTGTTTGGAAATTCCTTGCGCTTAGTTATCTCCAGACACCTGGGGATGGATGCCACATTCCCTCATGGAGGTCAGACTGAAGTGCATTGCTAACAGCTGTCCTGATCCCACCATAGAGGAAAACTGAAATCAAACTTCTACAGGTAGATGATACTGCAAACCTATTTTTTCAGCTATGCTTGGAAGAATCCAAGGGAAAAATACATGGAAATTGATACTCCTATACCACTGCTGACTTGAACCCAATATCGATGAAAAATAAAGAGTCATGGAACCATAGAATCATTTGATTTGGAAGGGACCTTTAAAGGACATCTTGTCCAATGCCTGTGCAATGAACAGGGACACCTACAGGTCCTTCAGGTAGCTCAGAGCCCCACCCAGCCTGACCTTGAATGTCTCTAAGGGTAAACTTGTTGCACTGTTTACAGCCCCATATGGTTGTGCTCACACAGCCCTAGACAAAGTGCCAGTTGTATGGCTTGCTTTTATTAAACTATTTTTCTGCATAGTTGATCTCTGCATGAACCCTTGTGAAATAGCAGATGCAGGAAGTTCAAACCAATGCTTTCAATAACCTTGGATTAATGATAGTCATGTATAACTGATACAAGAGATTACACAGCTCTGCTGCCCTACTGAAATAAAGGCTGAAGAAGTTCCTGTGTGAGCAGCTTGTGGCCAGTTGAATGTCACGATGTTCAAAGTCATGTCCCACCAAGTCAGCAGGGCCCAGAGGAGTCAAGGCTCTCAAAAACATACACAGACACTTCCGTTCAGTTGCATAAACAGGCATTTAGGAGGTACTGCTTGGAAAAGCCTCAGTCTGCATATCCAACTTGCAGAAACCGATATGCAGTTCAAGTTAGGCTCCGATATGCAGTTCAAGTTAGGCTGGCTTTATTGTACCAGAAGGCTTTGAACATCAGAATAAGTAGCTGGAAAAATACTCAATTCTGCTGTTGGTTTCATCTGCTGCATCTGTGGGGTGGGGAGAGGAGGGGAGGGAAAAAGCATGTAGAGCTGTGGCAGTAGGAGGGAAACATGAGGCTCCCTCCCAGGGATGCTGCCAGGAGACACCATGCTGACAGGCAAGGGTCTCCAGCAGTACCCTCATGCTGCTGTTTTTCATAATTAGAAAATAGAGTATGTTTTCTAATTATAAATTAGACATTAATTGGGAACTGTTATGCTTTCTTGCCACTAAAGACATGAAAACAAATGCTTCAACAAGCTTCTTAATTTTGTAAATAGAGTAATTTGGGATTTAATTACTGCTTGAATTTGCATACAAATAATATATATTCCAGATTTCTGTGAGACACTGGTGTTGAGTTGATAACTTTCTTATAAGCTCTTGAGAAAACAAGTGCATTAGCATAAAACTGGAAAGGTGCTATCTGTGATAAGGTTCCTCTTCAGCATGAGTCCTAAACCAGACTCCTTTACCTCAAGAAAACAAACCAAATCAAACCAAGCCATAAAACCAACATTCAGTCTGTCTTAGCCCTACAAACCCATGTCTTTCCTATATCATGTCAAGTATTTTGCTGCAATTGATCAGTCACAGCATTGGTGCCTATAGGAAATGAAAACATTTTCTCACCTTTCTCAAGCACACCTGCTTGTCTTTGCATAACATCTGGTGTCCATCACCTGCTGCAGCAGAGTTCCAACTCCTGCTTGCTTGTGTCCTACTCTTGCTCAAGCTTTTCTTGAGCAAACGTGGACCCAAACTATAACTTGCCTAGTTTTACATGAAGATGCAAACAAAAAATTTGTATATGCAAAGTCTGTCAGAAAAGTCTTACATTTCAGTATAGGCATGAGGAAGAGCTGATTTCAGAAGAAAACCCATCCACGTATGATTCTCTAATGAGAGATGTCTAAGTCACAGCACAGAAATATCATTCCTTCTCTATTATCTTTTCCCACATGAAGTATCTTACATGAGATCTGACCTGCCAGAATTCTAATCACATCATTAACAGAGCTTGTAATTCACAAACCCAGCAGCTTTGTTTTTCATCCAATTTGAGAAAGTGTCTCTATGCTCCCAGCCCAAGGGTTTTCCTCACTTTCATTCACTTGGATCTGTCCAACAGACTGTGGTTTCCCACCTTCCTTGAGCTGCCTGTAGCATTGTATGTGCTCTCTGAAAAGCTGACTAGCTTGCACTCACTTCTTGATGCATAAGTATTTATTTCAAGCAACATTGGCAGGAAGCAAGTTTAGATAGGGAGAGCCCCAAAGATTCTTTGCAGAAGCCAGTGGAAGGTCTATTTCCATCAGAAGCCCAACTCCAGGCCCCTCCAAGATACAGATTAAATTGACGAGTGCACGTGAAGGAAATTATATCTAAGAGGATGAGCTATGTGAGTGCACACACATAGATGCTTGTTACTATCATTGACAGAGAGCTGTTGGAGAGGATCCAGAGGAGGGCCACGAAGATGATCAGGGGATGGGAGCACCTCCCCCAGGAGGGCAGGCTGAGGGAGCTGGGCTTGTTCAGCCTGGAGAAAAGAAGGCTGCGGGGTGACCTCATTGCAGCCTTTCAGTGCCTAAAGGGAGACTACAAACAGGACGGGAATCAACTCTTTGAAAGGGTTGATAACTGCAGGATCAAGAGGAAATGGTTTTAAGTTGAGCAACGGAAGATTTAGGTTGGATGTCAGGGGAAAGTTCTTTACAGAGAGATGGTGAGGTGCTGAAACAGGCTGCCCAGAGAGGTTGTGGATGCCCTGTCCGTGGAGGTGTTCAAGGCCAGACTGGATGGGGCCCTGGGCAGCCTGGTCTGGTATTAAATGGGGAGGTTGGTGGTCCTGCATGTGGCAGGGGGGTTGGAGATTCATGATCCTTGAGGTCCCTTCCAACCCTGGCCATTCTGTGATCATGCAGGTAATTTTGTGAGCTGCTATTTATCTGATATCATTTCTACTTTGGTGATACCTGTCAGCCTTCTTCCAAGTCAAGGATTTCTAAATACAGGACACAGGCCAAGGTAACAATGCAGAGGAAAACCACTGACATTCTAAATAATCCTCAGTATTTGCAAATAGTTATTCATTAAAATTGCCTTTTATGGCTAAATACCCAGCAGCACATTCACTGCAAACTGCAACTGACCAGCAAAGAAGGGAGGCAAAGAAATGCAATATAAAGTAACATCTGTTTCATTTATACTGATCAGAAATGAGTAAATTAGTGACTGTGCAAGTCACCAATTCCCCTCTTGTTACCTGCAGTCAGTAAATTCACTTCCATTCTGCAGGGTCTCAGTAACATGGGTGACCTAATACAGCAATCCAAATGCAGGGATCAGGTCTATGAAGTCACGGTGGGTTAAGCGCACCATAACATGATAGCCCCTAATAAGGCTCGGTGCTTGGGATATCCTTCCATCACTTAAGATGTAGGCTAACAGAAGTTCCTTGTTCATGCCAAAGCCATCTGTTGAGGCAGGCAGCCTCCTGACACCATTAGGAATGGCTGCTGGCTGCCGGCCTTACACCACCTCTGACCCAGTGCCCCAGCACAGCCGGCAAGTGACATGGGGACAGGCCTTAATCCCAGGCAGGAAGCGCATCTTAACCTTTGACTTAAAACCTGGCACTTATATACAGGTAGGATCCATTACAGGATCTTGTATATTCTTACACTGCACCACGTGTAGCTCATTAAAAGAAATTACGGGGGAAAAAAACACTATTTAAAAGAAAGCACCAAGGAGTAGTCCTCTGTGTTTCTTGCGTAACTCTGAAGCAGGTAACACTATTGTAAAAGCTTTTCATACTTCTCTGTGATTTACACAGAGCTGTGAAGGTGTTTACTTACAGAAGCACAGCTTTTAGTGGCACAGCTGAGTGTGTTTTCTCATCCTGTGTAATCCCCCACACTGAGCAGCCTCATGTATGGAATTTTGACCATCACCTGCGAACTGCCAGCTTTCTCACAAGGTGGGAACATCCTGATTCAGTTTGATTGGTCAAATTACACCTCTTGAAAAGCAAAATATAATGGGGTACCACCCTCGAAGTGCTACGCTCCTCTTTCACAAGTGGGAAAAAAAAGTGGCAAAGACTGCTGTATGTGATTTTTGAAAGAGGTAAACAAACCCAGAAATATCTACATACGCAGAAAAAGGTTTTACAAATGTCTGTCCTCGACTTCCTCCTATAGCAGCTGCTCTTCCCTGTGTCCAAGAGTGCCTCTTGCATCAGAACTGAAAAGAGGCAGCAGGGATTGAAAAAAGCACAGCAAATATCACAGAGGGTAGGGACACCTTTTTTGAAAATTCTCTTTTATTATTTAACCCACCAAAACATTCCAGTTTCCCTGCAGGCCCTGAATCAGGCATTTTTCCACTGTAACATTTCCATAGGAGACAGCATGACAAGCACTGTGTACAGGACCAAGGCTTAGCATGCTCAAGTCATGTGAGAGCTGAACTATACTCATCAGTGACAAATTAGTCATCCTCACATTACTCAGCTTCGAGCACCACACAAGAAAATGACCTTGTATTGTGGTACTACTAGCTAAGGATGCCACTGCCTAATGACAGAACAGTAGCTTTGGATTGATCTTATGGGTTTTACAATAAGGATTTGATGAGGTGCGTTTATTATCACATTTGGAAGTGTTTAGACATGATAATTTTTTGACATAATACAAAAATCACAGAAATAGTTTAATTTAGGTATCTAAAGTTACAGAAAATAAATATTTCAGTGAATATAAGATCTTATTAAGACATAGAATAAGAGGTATACAAGAAAATGTAGTTAAAATACAGAGATCCCAAGTGGGAAAGGAAACACCATTTTTCTTGAAGAATTTGGACCTTCCTTCTTCAAATCACCATTTGTCTCTCTCTGATAAAGCTCCACTACAACATTTAAATAGGCAGCCCCACCAATCAGCTGACAGGAATTCACCTGTTGCACTAAAAGTACAAAGCTAAGAAGAATGTATAATGTTTTATTTTTCAATGTATTTACAAAAAGATATTGCACGGATCCAGGCATTTTTTTCAGTTTAACAAATTAAGGAAAAGCCTATTTACAAAGTTAAAAACAGAAGTGCAAAATAAGACTGAAAGAAACCCAGAAAGAATAAAGTTTATTTAATTGCTAAGTACAGTCTGCTATCTGACCATAGCCCACATCCTGCATTACCTAAATTAGTTGTACCTTGTTTATCTGTAACTTCAGAAGTTCTTGCATTTCTCTATAGATGCAAGCTAATCTTTTACACTAACCATGAGAAGGTTTATGTAAAATGTAAAGGCTAAACGTAGCTTAACTTAATATCTTTATTTCACCAGCAAAGAGATGCTCTTTTAGGTAAATTGGTAAAGCTACATAGTATTATACATGTATTTAAAAAGTAGTGATAAATCAGGCATGATGGTTTTCTTTCTTTGTAAACACCATAAGGAAGTTTGCCAGCATATCTGGACTGATTATCCTAAGTACACCGTCAGTCCAAGTTACATTAATTAGCACAGCACACAGTTGTGTCTCAGCCTATCTGCCACTGGGGCTATCGTGATGCATTTCTGGGGTGTAAGTAAGCAGAACAATCATGACCCAAAGATGAAGCAATGCCTGGGAAAACAGAAAGAATTAACTTAGCACACACAGTTGTTGTTTATGGCAATGTAAGTCTGTCAGTGTAAGTGAAAAAAAAAATAGTATGAAAAATATTTAAGCAAAATACTTCTACTATTTTTACTTCTAATAACTAATTCTTATATGCTTAATGAAATGCTGAGTCAGATTCTGAAGAAGCCATTCACAGAAAGCTAAATTAGATTTTACACAAACAGCAAAAGTAAGTGCACAGAATCCAGGCTTCTTTATGCACTCTACCTTCTTTCCATCCATGCGTACCTTGCAGAAGCTCCAGCTGTTCTCCTTGATACCCAGCCCAGCCCACAGACACCACATTACATCACCTGTCCAGTGATAAGCTGATACTCCTGTGCCACCTGGCTGACACCAGACAGAGTGAAACTCTGAGTTCTACTTTCCTTCTCGCTACCCAAACATGATGTTTAGTAACATTTTTATAAACACTGCAGAAATGTTAATCATCATTTGAACTTCACTGGAATTACACAGAATACATTTTGCTGGGGTGCAACAAAAGAGATAAGTGACAATACCTATGGTAAATATCCTTAAAAAATAACAACCAAAACCTGAGCATTAAAATTACAGCAATCATAACAAAAATTCCAGTTGAAAAAGGCTGAATATATGGCTCCTGTTCAACGTTATTGAGTAGCTCAGGCAGTAAAATTCTTCAGTATCTCAGTACAAAGCATTTTATTCACATATTCTGAAGTCTAAGTCACGAGTGGGAAGAAAGGGAGAAGTCAGGAATTAAAGAGCCCTGTTCCTTCCAGTACTTCACAGGCTGGAAGAAGAAATTGCAGGGGAACCTTGTCATTTCCTTTACTTACATGCATCTCTCTGCCTTACTGAAATAGTGACAGCTGTTCTTAGAGACTGTTCAGAAAAATCGTGTGTTCTCAAGCAACTTATTCCCTCTCCTTTCAAAGACTCAGTAAACATTTTCAGTCAGGGCAGACTGCGTTCTACCTTGCTACAGTTCATTTCAACTAACAGACATCTACCCTCTAGTGGTAAAGGAAGGGATCTCATTTCCATAATTTTTTTGTTTTCTCAATTTTTATCACCTCCTCTGTTAAGATTCTATTATTTGAATTTTAGCAAAAATAAGTCATTTTTTCAGCTACTCGAGTAGCATGATTGTTAATTACTGCACAAAAGTGGAGGGCCAAATATTAAGAAAACCCATTAAAAAAGTCAATTTTCCAACATCAGTGCATGCAGGTCACAGAATTATTTTCCATTCTCACTTCGCTTTAAACATTCTTTTAAAAGGTAGTTACATAACTGGCCTTCAGAGTTCTATACTAAGAATTCATGAGAAAAACTGAGAACTAGCAAGCAACACAATTCCAAAATACTGTTTTGTATATACTCTTTAGTCTACAAAAAAAAAATTGTTAATTACACATACATTTAATTTGTACTTCATAAACTGGCAAAAGAAGACTTGAATTATATTCTTAAAGAAATCTTGCTTACCATATATATTATTACAAATATTCTTGCTATAGGATACCTCCTTAAAAAGATTCCCAGCCGAATGCTACACAAGAGAAAAACAAAATACACAAGTCAGCACTAAGCAGCAAGTTCTTCTTCCTCTCATTCTAATTAATCACAAACTCAAACATCTGTTTCAGATCTGAATTTTACTTCATATATTCATGAATGAGAAAATTCAGAATGCAGACTATTAAAAATCTCTTCCTAAACCAGAAGATGCATTTTCTTGTCATGTTCTTACCTAAATTGATCTATGCTACTAGCAGCCTTGCGAACTCTCCCATACATTCCTGCTACGTTGGTATCCACATCACTGAAAAGGACAGGAACATTACGCATACGAGCACCTATTTGAAGGGCAGAAACAAAAAGAGACTCATTACTGTAAAATCACTTCAAGTTGTAGTCTAAGTAAAAAGTAAATTACAGCTCATAACAAACATACAGACAAAACAAAAATTGCATTCACCTGATTGCTATTTTGAAGTGTGTTGTAAGGGAAGGATTCTCGATAAATTTACAATTGATTTAAGCATCAATTCAACTTAGTACATTCAAAAATTTACTTTAGTTAATTGAATGGACATCTTGGTATTGAATTCTAGTAAGTAATGAGTTCTTTTATTAAGTGTAAAATAATGGGTTTGATAATCATCTTTTCTCCATTTACTTGCATTTCTCATACAGTAAAACTGACAATATTTCTGATACTAACTTGTATACTCCAAATATTTACATATTATTTACACTTTTAATACGCATCAACTTTATTTTAATAAGATTCTCAGACTGCTACCTTTGTGCAACTAAAAACAAGCCAAAAGGAAAATTCTGTTCAACACTCAAAAGGAAGTGTACTGTTCACATTCACCTCCCAAAACTTTTTTACAAGACAGCAAATACTGTCTGCTTCTAATATCGTTTGAACCAAATAAGACAGATTTATTTCCACCTTGACAGGATTTGTAAATAAGATTGCTCTAATAGTGCCATAATATTAAGAATTAAACTGGCTTCATTAAGGTTACTTATCATTCACAAAGAGGAGCTTTTATTCAACTGTTTTTGATACAGCTGCTGAAAGCTATAAGCACCATGTTTTCAGACTCCTCTTTTTCCTTTATGAAGTCAGATCTTCAGAGAAAAGTATTAGGAAATACAGAAACCTGCATTGCAGAGAGAAAATTTTTAAATGTTATAATTCCTTATTTACCTTCAGTACCATCAATTCCTGCCATGTTAATGGAAGGCCCATTACTACTACTGCCTTGGAAAGCCTTCAGCTGATGCTCAAGCCGTTCCAGTTGATAGACGAGTGAGTTTTTCTCTGTGCTCAGGCTCTCCAACATGGTCTGCTTCTGAATCAGTGTTTCTGTCAGCTGATGAAGGCGATTTTCTAATTCAGTTTGACTACTACTACTTAGAGCTTTGTTTGTGAGCTAAAAAACAAAGGAAAAATTAGAACATGTTCAAAATCTGACCAATGTGACATATTACAAAAGTGGTATGCTCACCAAATCTAAGCCCCCAGAAACAAGCTATCACATTTGCAGGACTTCTATGGGATAATAATATCCAAACCATCACCAGTGAATGTAACGAAGAAGAAACTCAATTACAACGGTTGTTAAAAGAAGACTTTTCATGTGAAAAACAAGAAAGCTGTTTAAAAACGTATGCGTATATTTTCCACTTCTAGTGCTATGAACATAAGTTTTATCATAAAGATTAATGCTATGTCTCAGAACTGAGTTTAAATGCATGGCAATCACAACAATCAATCTCCTCTTACTTCCAACTTCACAAAGTGAGCATGCAAAATATTTTCAAGTGAGGAAGGAAATGCTTAGTACAAACAAGGAGTGTCTGCCCAAGGAGGCTGCTAAGGACTGACACTATCAGAATGTTCCAAAAGGGATTAGTTAAGAAAAACAGTTCCATAAACATACTTACAGAACTTAGGGTCTCTAATTCACCTAAGAAAACCACAGATGCTGAAAGAGCGCAAGTGAGCAAAGACAGTGTCCAGGCTCACACTGCCACTATTCACGATAAAAACCTATCTGCTGGATACATGGCTAACTAGTCTGAAGGACATCTTATGTTTCTATGCACAATTAAAAGAATCTCTGAAGAAACAGTCATGATCAAACACCAATGGCGTTGTTTAGTTTCCAGGATGAAGCACATAGCAGGTCTAGTAGGATCCCAGGTTACTCTCTGAAGACAAAAGCATGTGTAATCATAAAATTAGACTATTTACTGTTACATGGTTCCTTTCCTGTGCTCTTCACACTTAAAATTCTACTTTGCATAGCAAACAAGCATATGCTAACTCAGTAGCAGTTCCTATGTGTATTTCGTATAGTTTAAGCAAATTAATAATTTTCAGCACTGTTTTCATAAGTGAATGTAGTACTTATTTTTTATACAAATACAGTACCTGATTTCTGAGCTTCTGGATTTCTTCCTCTCTGTCTTTTATTCTGCTTTGCAAAGTATTCTTTGCTCGATATAATTCTTCCTCGGTGTAACGGAGTTCCTATGAAGTACATCACAATCAAAGATCTTGTTCTCATACTTACGTAAGTACTTTGAAAGACATTCTCTTATTTCAAGTTACACATTAGAGTAAGTAACACAGGATAATCAGATATAAACTAACATTTAATATAATCCAGAAGCGTCTGGCTAGCACTGGAAAAAAATAAGAGAGCAGAGTATGAAGACAGAACCTAGAAGATCAAAAAATCCTTCTGTGAAGACTGACTTCACATAAATACTACCCAGATCAGTTTACTAATACTGATGCAGTTCCACTGGGAACATGATTTGTTTTGTTGTCCTCATATTCTCCCTGTTTATTATATTGTTATCTTTAAATGATACCGTGTAACTTAAAGAATTAGGGATACCAGGGGGAGGGGAGGAGGAGGAAGGGGAGAGACATCTCTGTTCCTAAAAGGAGCCCATCAATCATAAAATTAAAATAAAGTGGGTATCTTCCAATTTTAAAAAATCTTGGCATATTTCTCTTTAGCTTTGTGAATGTCACAGACCTTCCTTAAACGTTTAAGATAAATTAGCATAACAGAGGGAAAAGGAAAAGCAATATTAACAAGAGACAACTTACTGAACAGCAAAACTAACAGTGAGTATTCTTACTCCCATGATTTAGTGGCTATGTTAACTCCTATTGAAAGACCTACCATACTTATCTTTTAAATTACAACTGCCTTCAAATCACTGTGCCACTTCAGCTAACAGCTGCTACAGAAGACAGCTGATGATACTTTTCCTTTAAGTCATCAGATATACAATAAATAACCTCTCATTTTCCAATGTCAGCCTCAGAAACTTTACAGCAAGTTACAGCAATTCTCCAGTAGAACAGGCCACTGTTGCATTAAGTACTGTTGCAAACAATTACTTCAAAAGCACACATATTCATATGTCATCAAAAGAAATATCATTTTCTGTAGCAACCAATAATGGTTTGTTTTGTTGTTTTTTTTTTTTTTTAAAAAAAAAAAAAAAAAAAAAAAAAAAGGCTTCACCTCACTTCTTCTATACATAACATTAAATTAAAATATACCCCTCAGAAGGGCAGGAGTAATGTGATATAATTTACCATCTGCTTTGGTATAGCCATCAACTATCTATCAAAAACAGACATCAACTTCTGCCTTTTAATTAGTTCAAGCTGCTAGCATCTAATTCAAATGTAATTTCTGAAAGGACAGATAATCCTACAAGATAAATTGTTCCTAGCAAATACAGTACACTCACCTGCTTTCCTCATTAATACTCTTACATGAGCTTTATTTTTAAAGGACATCTTAATAGGCTGCAAAACATTGGTCCAATCTACCTAATATTCTGTTTGTTAACACAAAACACAAGAGTGAAGTTTTTTCTCCTCTTTCTAGCACAGAACAGCTTAAAAAGATGATACAACCTGACAAAATTCACTGCTACTATCTCATTAACAATTTGTCTTATACAGTAGTTTGGAATCTTACATAGAATTTGATCAGAGCAAATACAATTGTAACCTTTATTATTAAGTTTATTGACATAAATGCATTTATTACCACATTCCTGTTGCTGGATTGTTCCCTGTTAAATAAAATTTAAGATCATTATCAATTTTGTTCACTCTCTAGGGTCTTGTTTATTCTTTAAAAAAAAGCTGAGATCTGTATTTAATCAGGATTACTGCTTAGTACTGGTTGCACTTCGGCCTTATGACACAGAAATTTGGGAAATTTCCTTGGACTACTAGAAGAAAAAACCCTCAAATACCACATAACCTACTCTCTCATTAAGCCAAATGCTTTGCTGAAGACAACATTGGCCTAAAGTAAGACCCATCAGCTTTCAAGCATTCTTTACCTGCTTCTGCCGTTCTAGTTCAGCTTCTGCCTCCTGCTTGGCCATTTTATGAGCTGCTATTTGCTCTTGTAGGTCTTGAAGCTGTTCTCTCACTGACTCAGCCTCACTTACCTGCTGAGTCTCCATATCCTGAAATGAACAGAAATGTTACTATTTCACTAGCATTCAAACAGTTCTGCAATCTGTCACAGGTGACTACAGAAACTGTTGCTTCTCCAATACTGATTCCAAGAAAAATGAGGGTAAATTAAAGACAACTGCTCATTTTATACACAATATTTTTATTACAATATCAACGAGATAAATGCAATTTGTAAACATGAGAAGCCTTCAAGTGATCTCTTTTTCCCTTCTGCTGTCTGGATGCTAAAACTGTGCAAACCCGGCACAGCTGCTGGGTTGAGCCAATTATGCCACAGCTGACTCAGATTACAGTTGCTTCAAGGATTAGTAGCAGCTCTTGCAGAAAAGGATATATGTAAAATCTACAGAAGTAACCAGGCTTGTTTAGAAAGAATTACTTGTTTCAAAATGAGTGCATAGCAGAGTGGGAAAAGAAAATAGTAACTCTAATACTCCTCCCACCACCAGGAGAGAAAATACAAGAAGAAAATGGTTCTCTATAAGCACTTACCCCACAGCTGAGCAAAAGCTGGCTTGGCTTTAATACTTGTTCAAATAAATATTAGAAGTGTCAGCCCTAAAGCACGCAAAAAAAGTCTTTTGTGCATGGCTAACTACATGTAGGTGTGCACATAACCATAGCTACCTGCAGCTCCGTTCTCATCTGCTGTATTTGTCCCATTAGCTTTTGTATTTCTTCTCTTTGAGTGTCACGCTCGTGCCTCAGCTCCTCTAGTTCCATTGTGCTTGCTGTCTGGCTATCCAGACCTTCAATACCAGAGCCTTCTTTTAGGCTGTTTATCAGCTTTTCTTTAGACTGAAATAATAAATCAAAATGTTATTGACAGCACTATTTCACAAGTGCTCAAATAAAACCCATTAAAAAATTGCTCTAAATTTCCTATGTAGACTTACAGTAAAAGAACTGCTTTATCTGTTCTTTCAGACAAGTTAAAAATAACTCCACACATTTTAAAATGGAAAATGCTTCCCTACTAATAATTTCTCTGATTTGCCACATGTCACAAGACGGGATGTACTGAAAGTCTGTGTTATCAGAGGAAGAGTAGAACTTTACTCTTCAGAATTGTGTGGAATGTTAAACATGTCACAGATAAAAATTCTGCCTTTCCAGCTAATGTAAGAGAGAATACAGACACTGAAGACAAAGATTAAGTCCATCCTTTCTCCTGTCAACAAAGCCAAATAAAAACCCAGATCAGCAATATCTCTTCTGGGAAACAGAATAAACTTTTTTTTTTTTTTTTTTTTAAACAAAGTTAACCTAACGTTAGCTTGAAACTGATTTCTGATCTCATGCTTCTTGCATTCATCAACGTGATTCAAGTCATGTCCTTGGTCATCAGACAAGACTGATTTATTCTAAACAGGTAAGGTTTGCTTACTCTTACAAATAAAACTCAAATTGGTACCCTTAATAACTTAAGTAGTAGATAACTGCACAGAATATGCAATTTTGCCATTGCTTATATAATCACATACAGCTTTTCAGAACACAAAAATATCTTCTTCAGTTTACACAAGCATCCACTATGCTTCAGACTCAAGCAGAATATAGCAATTTTCTTGGCACAAGAACATGGGTGCAGATAAACTGTAGGTTACATTTGTAACCATCTGCTTAAGATCAGACTCTGGGATGGGGAACACAATGACAGATGTTATAAACTAAGGGCAGTGGTTCACTTGGATTTTTGTTCAGGACCTGAACTTCCATTTCATTATTTAACTCAATCTGTCAACGAAAATTTTAGGAGGTACAAAATGCAGACTAGTAACTGTTCCAAATAGGTATCATTATGGATTTACCCCAAAATATATTACAGATCACATGGAAAAAAATAGATTAAATCACTTGAAGAACAACATCCTGTAAAAATCAAGCATACAAATGAAACTGAATGCCTTTAAGTAAATGCTTACTTGGAGTATGCGAGTAGCTTTTTGTTTATAGTCTGCCAGTTCCTGTTTTGCAGATTCTAGCTGGTTTTTAGTTATTTTCACTTGCTGCTGAAGCTCATCAGCTCGCTTTTTCTCATCTAAATACTTTTTTTCTGCAACCGTTACCCCTTCTGCCAAATTCTGACGTTCTGCTTCCATTTTACTCAGACGTGCTGCGAACTCATTCTATTAGCAATAAAGAAACAATATTTTCTGTTTAAACACAATCACAACGTTAGCCTAGAAATAAAAAAGAGAGGATTTAAAAGCAACTACAATTGAAATTAACACTTCATATGGATTGTGTCCAACTTGCATATGCGTTAGTGCTGTGTGGAAAGAAATTGTGCTAGCTTAAAGAAGTACTAAATGAGTACTCAGTAAAAATATGCATTTCTTTGCCACCAGAAGTAGATCTTTCTGTTTACATATGTTTGGTAAACAAAAAGCAAGCTATCCTTCAACAAAAATAAATAAACCAATCATAAAGGTATTTTAGTTTAAAGCAGCGAAACAAACAAACAAAAAAAAAACAGTAAGGGTTTTCACAGATGTTATTATACATAATAAAGGCCAAGCTAAATGGAGAATGCATAAAGTCTCTAGCGATATTAGCTTTCACATTCACCACAGTAGTGACCACCCAGTCTAACATTCTTAAGATTACATATTAAAGTTGTAGGTGCAGGTGGGGAACAATACAGCATGGAAAATCAAATTGACTGCTGATTTAAAATATGCTTTCACATAAAAGATAGAGTGGAAAAAAATTTCCTTTTCAGCATCGATTCTCATCGATTAAGATTTAATCATAAAGCTTTCAAAATAGCATTTAAGAAGTAAACTAGCATTGCAGGGATACTTAGTGTAGCAGAAGGCACACCTTTCCAAGTGCTTAGTACCCTGACCAGGAACTAGTCAAGGGGAAAAGAGAGCAGTTAGAACCTCACAGATTTGATCTCACAAGCAGTCAAACTCCTCCTTAGTCTTCCCATCTAACCTGCATTTGTTTGTAACTTTCTTGCTCTCGCTTCAGTGTGGAGTCTGCATCACGCAGCCTATCCTGAAGAGTTTGAAGGGCTTGATTTTGCAAACTGCTCCCTTCACTGTGGTCTTGTATTATTCTGAAAGAGTGATATACATATTAATTGAAATTAAAAATCCAGTATGATTTTAAGGCAGAAATATGACTACCTTTAGCAACAGCCTTGAAAATGTACCCAGTAAATTAGTGAACATGGCTTGCTAATAACTCCTGCAGTCCCACTGTGGAGTATCCAATTTCAGATTCATGTCCCAGTAAAGATGGGATGTCCCAGATGTAAAGACAAAGAAGTCTTTACATCTGAGAATAAGCAAGTGTATTTTTCAAGATAGAAACATTTCTTCAGATCTTAAGCTTCGAGCCTCTGACAAAAACATAAATATATTGTATACAATTTGTTTCAATAACCAGGCGATAATTGCTCTTATTCATTTGCCCAGTTTCTACTGCCAGCTGTGATGTAATGAGCTCAGAGCAAACTTCAACGTTCATATTTCAAATTTTGATACCATCTCCCCCCATTAGTTCATTCATTTTTATCCTTAAAGACACTAAACTATCCACCCTGAATTTTCAACCTTACTGCTATTTTTGCAAAGTGGTGAAGCCTGAAATTAAGTACCGTGATTTCTCACTCCGCAATGCTTCCAAAGCTTCTGTCCGGGAACTTAAGAGCTGATCAGCTTCTTGCAAGCGTACTTTGAGCACAGCTAGCTGGGAATCCTTGGCACCAACAGCTTCTGTCAGATCATCAACTCGAGCTCGAAGTTCTCTGACCACCCTGTCATTCTTTGAATGGTCAACATTCCACTTCTCCACTCTTTCCCGGGATTTGTTCAGTTCTACAATGTAAAACATTTTTTAAGTTTTCAAAAACAGATCATGACAAGGTTTTTGAAGTGCTCAGGATGTGCATGCTACACTTCCTCAAGGAAAATAATCAAATACAACCAAGATGAAGCAACACTGAAACGTTATGAGCTATCAAAAAGTAACAAATACCAGACTTTGGCTGTCAGATCATGACATACTAAAAAAAAAAAAGAAAAAAATCACATGATCTCAAAGCACATTTTCATTCTGCTTTGCAGCTGACAATCTCTCTTAATCCTTGCAATGAACTACTGCTGAACAGCCCTGTGTGAGCAAACCTTTAGAAACCTCTGCAGATAGCATCTAATTCAACACTACATAACAATAAGATCAAACTAAGTAACAGCACACAAATACAGTGTTAAAATGATACCTGGATATTTACCCAGACTTTGTTTTCAATCAAAGTTCACATGCTAAACTTCAACGGAGAATAAATTCTGCAGCTTAAACAGTTACTTTAAAAAAAGAAAAAAAGACACAGTCCCTCAGCTGTGTGCCTAACTGAAGTAGTTTGCCAGGTATTTTATTATTTGTTTTTATATTCACATCTGTCATATTTCATTTCATTTAGCTTTGAAAAAAAAAAAAAAGCTAATATAGTCATACAAAAACATCAATCTGAGATTTTTACCATCAATTAGCTACAGACAGAAAGCAGGCAGATTTCAAGCACTTAAAGGCAGTCACTCATAACTATTTTGCAAGAAACTTTAAAAGGCAGAAAAAAATATTTTAACACTTAGTATTTGCTAGTTTTAAGATGTAAGCTTTGGAACTAACTCAACTACATCACCTTCATCAACATGTATGTTATTATTGTAGTTGAACAAGACTTCCAGTTTCCCTCAGCTCATAATTTTCAAAACCAGGAATCATTTTGCTTAAGTCATGCATGCAAATTTATCTAGGAAAACTTTATTATAAATATAAAACTCTAGCATAGAAACAGCACTGCTTCCCAGTTTACCAGTATTTTCAAGGTGTGTTACAGTTTAGTTTCCAAATTACAATACCTTCTTGTGTTTCTTTGGATCTCTGAATTAATGAAGCCATTTCTTGATTTAAAGATTGCACTTCATTTCGCAACAGCTGATTCTCCAGACGAAGGTTGGACAGCTCGTGTGATTTTACATCATCATTAGCTGAAAGGCCAGGATTAGTTACTGCACTTAGTGATGAATCCTTCGTGCCATCCACTTGGGTTGCCTGTCCAGAATCTGAGCTGTCTGGAGTTTCTGTACAGAGAGATGCAAGTTAGAACTGATCAAACCATTTGTAGGTCTGTATCAGTGGTTGAATGCACTTAATCTAATTAAAAAACAAACAAACAAAACAGCTTATATTGGAATATAACATAATTTTGATGTCAAACCTAAATATGCAATTCAGCCACACAGCTGCATGTTTCAGCTATCTTTATGTGAAAGAGTCTTAAGAATCTTCAGTTGAAACATCATCTTACTGATGATTCTGCATTGATAACTCTCAAAACACACTTTTAAAATTCACTTTTAAAAAGCAATTTAGGAATTTCTGATGTAGTCTGAACAGAACTCACTTGCAGGGAAGGGGGAACCTGCAGGCCTTCCTCAGCACACACACAGTACTGGATTACTGCTCTGCAAGTAATGCAGCCACTCTAGCAGTGTTGATTGCTATGTGCAGACAGCTGGAAGATTCGCACCAGTATTGACAGAAAGCAACACAGCACACAGTGAACAACCAAGCAAACAATGCAAAATCATTCCTTCTGAATTCAGTGTGCCCCAGATCGACAACTGTTAAAAATCCATGGGGACACATTACAGCAAATTCAATGCCAGACTTCAGTTCAGCTGTCAAAACACCATTTTCTTTGCTCTGTGATTATCAACCAATCTGCTCCACCTTCTTAGTTGCCACTGCAACAGGTCTCACATGGCAGAGCTCATCAAGGAGATGGAGCAGACTGGGAATTCCTAACAGCGTACCAACAAGTAACTGCAGTGACTGAAAAATTTATTTCATGTTTTCTCAAATCCCTTTGCTATTTAAAGATTTTTAGGAAGTATCACTTCCTTTCTTTTAATTCATTTACTTTGAAATTATCAGACAATCTATCTTCATTCCTTTGTCTGGAAAACTTGAAAGTCCAATGAAGCTAATAAGGCAAAAAAGTAGACACTTACAGCAGACAGTGGATTGCATCCAAGGCAATGTACATACTGTAACATTAATTACTTTTGTCTGTAACTAACGAACCACAATTTATTTCAACAGTTTTTATATAGGACATCAAAATGACTGATACATACAATTGACTTCAAAACTAGTGTGCTCAAACTCTACATATTAATCATGTGTTTCCCCAGCAGCTCCAAGATGCAAACTCCACTGAAAAATCTTCACAAAAAAATTCAATGTACCACACTGAGCAAAATAACTATGTTCCCCGAGCATCAATTATCAAGATACAACATTGCCATATAGCTAAGTTTAACATATTTGACTTACTGCTGTCAAATGTTATTGAAAAGTTATAGACCCAGAAAAACAAAAACTTAGATCTCTGGAAATGACCCCTTTTTACCTGTAAAACTTTTCAACATATTTAATGCAGTTAAGTCTTTTACAGTGAGGGTAGTGAGGTACTAGAATAGGTTGCCCAGAGACGTGATGGATGACTTGTCCCTGGATATTTTCAAGATCAGGCTGGACCAAGCTCTGAACCACTTGATCTAGCTGTGGATGTCTCTATTCATTGCAGGTGACTTGGATTAGATGACCTTTAAAGGTACCTCCCAACTCTATGGATTCTGATTCTGTAAGTCAAAAACTGGCACAGTCCTTTACATGCACAAAGTACTGAACAAACAATACTCTAGCTATACTATTAGGAATACAACTATTTGCTTCAATTTTATAGAAGAAATAGCATTATTGGAAAGACTATAGACTGGGGAGCCACATAGAGAATGAAAGTTTCTAAGATTCTAAGAAGCTTTCTAACTAAGAAAGTTTCTAAGTTTCTCATTCTCCTTAGTAGACACTTGAGTTTTTAACCACTTGGCCTGGAAACTACTTCAGGTATCTGCAGCAATGCACTTCTTCTGGCAAAAACTAAGTTGTCTATCTCATTTTCTCATGCCTGTAGCTCAAAAGAAGCATGCCTATTTTCCCACTGTCCAAGCCAAGCAAGTTTGACAGCTTGCCCATCTTCCATGGCAGAGCAGAGAGAAGCTCACATTATATCAGGTAGGGCATTGGGTAACAGCCAGAACCATTTACCAGCTATAGTGAAACTCACTTGCTCACGTATGTGCCATCACAACAGGCAACAACCCCAAGCAAGGGAACAAATGCAGCAGTGCCAGAACCCATACTTTCAAGTGGGATGCATGGGTGCTGATGTAGCATCAGGCCACAACTCAGGCAGGATGAGGTGAGCAGTAGCAATGAAGCAGACAAAGAACACAAAGGGTTTCAGTGTCAAGTTATATAACCTGCCAAATTACTGTAGTATCTAAGATTATTCCAGTGATGAAAAATAGCAAGGACCACACTGTACTTCACAAATGTGACACACTGCTGCCACTAGATCTTTCATGAAGTGACAAAAAAAACCTTTACCTAGCCTTACACTAGACACAAAAGGGTTTAAAATATATTAGATTCAATAATATTAAACTACCATTGCTTTTGCTTCTGACAGAATTATCTTCAGTAGTCACTGCACTCAGTGTACTAGTAGATACAGAACTAATGTTTGAAGTCCGAGAGTGATTTTGAACAGGTGCCTTGCTCTTCTCTTTTTTAGAGTCCATCCTTGCATTAGGCTCTTTCTCAGAACTGTTGAGAAAATCAAACAGCAACTCATCATCAGGTTCAGACTTTTTTCTCCTCACAAAATGTGAAGAAGCTCTGGATGTGGAAACATTTTCTACTGAAGAAGCAACTTCTGAATTTGTTCTACGTGCTGGTTTAACATTTGCTGTTCCTGCTAAGATTGTAGCCTTTTGGTTTTTAATGTTATCAGCTGCTGAGGAGATGTAGGCTGCTTTGGATGAAGTCTGATATTTCAGTTCTCTGGCATGCTGGGACAATTCAGAATATTCATTGGCAGAGTCCAAATTCTTGCTATCAAAAACTGCGTTGCTTGCTGCGTCTTTTTTGTTCAGAGCTGATGCAGCCCCTTGATCAACTCTGTTGAGAAGATCCTCTGCCTTTCCAGCCAAATCAGCAAGCCAAGACATGATAAATGTCTGATGGTTAACTCTGCATCAAAATTTCAGGAATATATGCTGCAAAAGAGAACAATTGAAAATCAGACAGGCATTGAGAAGACAAGAAGTGTGGGTTACTGAAAAACTGCTGCATTCATTTATTACTGCTGTAACTACATTAACACTTCTGTCCTACCAGCTTTGTATTTCATTGTTGATAACTGATGGAAATAAACCAAATCAGTTTCTTAAGAAAATATACATAAGCACATGGCTTTGCCATCAAACCATATCTGCTCCTAGCATCAGCACCTGCTGATCCAGCCTGTCAGTGCAGCACTAACAAAAAATAAAGTCTGACAACAACCAAACCCAAGTGAAGAAGGAAAACGTGTCAACAAACATATTACAGAAACAGATGCACGAGGCAAACATCCCTCAGACGGCTGACCCGCAGATTCCATCAGCCAGGTCAGAGGGAGGAACACCCCCAGAACAAACCGCTGCCCTGACGTGCCCCGGTGATAGCGACACCTCCCCGGCACTCAGAGCCTACGACATGGCCCCTTCACCACGGACAGGCCTGCAGGAAGCGGGCAGCACAGCGGCCGTGAGGAGAAACCGAGCTGGCCGACCCCGCCCGGGCCCACAGCCCCGCCAGGCCCCTTCTCCCACCCGGCGGCCCTCAGGAGCGGCGGAGGCCTCAGCACAGTCCGGCCTCACCTCCTCACAGCGCGAGGAACCCCCAGCCCGAGCAGAGAAGCGAGAGGAGGCCGGCATGCAGGACACAGCAAAACCCCGGCCTGGCGCTGCCCACCTTCCGGCAGACGTGGCCACCTTCCGGGCCGCGGAGCGCGCATGCGCAGAAGGCTACGGGAGAGGCGTGAAACTGCGCGTTGCTGCAAGCCCCGCCCCTCCGCTTAGGGGGCGTGGTCGCGTCGAGAAGGGGCGCCCCCAGGTTACCGCAGGCCTTCTGTGCAGGGCTGCGCGCCGTGCTGTGGCCCGTTAGGGCTGCGGTCGCTGCACCTCTGAGGTGCAGCGCAGCCCTCGAGTTGTGGGAGTTCAGTCAGGGCGGGCAGAGCCCCGAGACGTGCGTGCAAACGTGGAAAACGGGCAGGAGGCGGGCGGCTGCCAACTGATGTGTCCTGCATTTCTGCGTTGTGATGGTAGGAGGAGCTGCAGCCCCGCGGTGCGACGGGTCAGGCTGTTAAAAAGTGCCAGGCGTCGTCTTGCTCTTCTTGACAGTTAAAGATGATGCTGTACAGGAGACTGCTTGACAGATGGCATCAACTGATTCTCGAAGGCAGCTTAAAACGCCAAAGAACGCGGAACCAGTAGGATATAAACCCCTCCAGTCCGCCAGCACAATAAATGCAAATAACCAAACGTGTTCTTCTGTCCTCCTGACTGCACAAAACTTGTCAGAAGCCTCATGTCCGGGCTCACCCTCATCCTCTTGCAGCAATCCGTCCTGTATGGTAACACCCAGATGACCTTGTTTCTACTGAAATTCATTGACAGGTACTGTGCAATCGATGCTGGCTCCTACTTGGGTAACAGGCGCAAGGTTGTCTTAAGTATTTTCTTTTAAGATAAAGTTTACATAGGATATCGTGATTAGGCTTAGAGGGGACAAGAGGTGAGGTCAGTCCGAGGGCTTCCCATCTCCGTGTTCACATTTATAAGAGAATCCTGGGGCTATATAAGGACATAAAGTCCTTATATTTTTCCAGTCTTCAGCTTCCCTTTCATAAAAAGTCCCTGGCCTTTCTCAGACTATTTCAAAGTGAGCCATCACGATCTTTTTCATACATTAAAGCAACCCATTTCCTGTTTCAAAACACTGTAATTCAGAGATTTGCATGACAAGAACAGCTCTTGTGAATGCAAGAGACGTGGTATAAAGAACAACTTCAGCACTCTTTCGACATTCTTTTGTCTATGGGGCAAGTTTCATTTCCACTCAAAGGAGGAAAAAGATTTTTAAAAATGACTTTCATTAAATGTGAACTAGTACCATCCTACGACCAATAAAGTACTATTCAAACAGTGAGTGTAATATTATGAAATTTAGGAATATTTATTATCAAGTATGCAAAAGGCACATTCAGGAGGAGGGAATAATTCTGGCTTTTCTTAAAATAGGGAGACTTTTCTATGGTTTCTGTGTCTGGCGTTGAAGTAATTTTTATTTTCGGGTTTTATTGTTGGGTAAGTAGAAAAGTACACTTATCCCACAGTGTTGTTTCATTCATCTGTAAATTACTGCATTCATTAGCTGAAAGGGAACCCGAAGCCCAAGACATTTGTAGTGTTCAGCACATGATGATGAGTGAAGAAAACGAAAACTAATTTTTTTTTATTTTTTATTTATTTATTTATTTATTTATTTATTTTTTGAAAGCAGGATAAATGGTAGGCCAGTTAAGGCAAAGATTAGAGAAGTCTATCTCAAGAATAGAGCTCACATCACATTCAGAAGAATGGATTTACTTTCACAATTGCTCTGGTCCTAGAAGCAAAGTGTATTATATGGCAAATTCCTTAAACAAGATGAACTTACATTTATTTACTTTTAACAAATAGGTTAAGAGATTTTAAAAAGTAGATTATACTCTATGGGACAGTTTTTACAGTACTTGTCAATTACCATTTCAAGGTGAATCTTTTTGGTGGATGTCAGATTTACAGACAAGATCCTTCATGTTCTTTTCCATATAATTTCCATATACACATCTCTCAGATGGAGAGATAGTTTGATCACCAATTCTCATAAGTCATATTGCCCATTGCAGTAGTTGGTGACTAGAAGAAAGGCATCTGGCCGTAAAAGTAATAATTTTTTTCCATCCTTTCTTCCTGACAGGATAGTGCAAGGCCTTGGAATAACTGTTTTCTACTTACAGCTCCTGCTGTTTCAGATTCCTCTCTGTTGAGGACCTGCTCTAGTCCTGAGGTTCTGAATATAATGCTGAATGAATAGTTGGTGGCTTACATTTACATTTCCACAGAACTTTATACATCATCTTGTTAGATCACATCTTGTAGGTTTTTCCTGTATGTTATCAAGAATATCCTGTTTTACAGAAATTTCCCTTCATTTTATCATGATAATCTTCTTTCCATATGGAATCCACAAGGTGTGGGAAGATTATTTAATGTTATGTAGGAGAAAGGTTCCAAAATGTTCATCTGCAGATATGAATTATCAATTTTCATTAAGCTTCACTAGGATTTAAGCCAAAGGAGGATATATCTGCCCTGCTGCGTATTCTGAACATACAGAGCTCATAGTGTTGTGAGTTAATAGAAAATCCAGTCTGCCTCATGACAGTTTAAGTAAACTGTGGAAGCAATAAATCAAATCAGTTCACAACCTTTAACTTCTACATCATGTGACTCAGTATGATGGACATAATCACCATTTCAATTTGACGTGCATTTATTACCTCCACAGATATTACTTAGAAAAAAAGGATTTCAGCACCCTGCAGAAGTCATGTTATCTTAAAGTGGGAACAACAAACTGTAAAGTATCTTCTGTTCACATACCAATTAAAACTCTAACAAACAAATACTTGTTTTTAAGTGTCAACAACTGATTCTAAGCATCCTGTACCTGGCTGAGTAATGAGTATGAATATTTAATTGTCACAGAGGGCATCCAGCTTCATTCACTACTGCTGAAAACTTTACAGTTCACAAATGCCCTCCCCAGAGTCCAGGCTCAGCAGAATGTGCCCTACTTGCTGCTACATAATTCAAAAATTTCTGGCACCAATTCTCTGTATGAAACCATGAAAGGTAAGAGATTCACATCTAGATGTAGATGAAAAAATTAGATTCACTATAAAATGTCTTTACATCCCTTTTCATATTCAAACAAGAAGTACTTTTTAGCAAGAATTTCACACATTATTTTTCCCTATTACAGCTCCTGTTGTAATAAGTTTTTTTGCAAACAACTAATTTCTCTTTAAAAATTACTGTTTATCTATGGATTTCCATGACTGTATGGGCAGAGAAATCATATACTGCAGGAAGAGCTAAGATGGAAAGTTACTGCTCCTTACTGGCTCCATCTGCTCAAGGCCCCACACTTTCTCCACAGTAAATGAAGGCTTCTGACTCTTCTTTTAGCTACCTCAAATGACCTCAGCTACTCTCTGAAAATAAGAAAGCATTCACTCAATTTGTCACACTAGCCTATGACATGTGCAACAAACTTTGAGGCAAGTGGTGCTATTATCTCTGCACTCCAGATGAGAAATTAAAATACAGCATGGAGAAACTGAAGAGGAAGTTCTTTTCCACACCTGATCTGAGCAAAGCATATTCGGTCTGGTCAAAATGTACAGATGTGGGGGATGGGTCATCCTAACTGCTAATGAACTTCTCAGAGAATTTATCACCAGCCATCTGTGTGCTTCTGCTGAGCATATGCAGCTTTGAGTTACAAAGATAACTTGACCAGACACTTGTCACAAACCAGTTAGTGAAAAATAGCAAAAAATCCTGGCCCTGGATTGAACATAATGGTTCTTGGTTTTATTAGTGGGAGGCAGTTGTGCCAGTCAGAGCACAAATCCCTCTCCGAAAATCTTCAATTGCAGGTGATGAAGGAAGATATAAGAACTGCTCAGGAGACACTGCTCAGCTACATTCCCTGAGATTTTGACTCAGGGACTTCCTTATTTTAATTTATTTAATAGCCAATATAGCTTTCCAAAGCATACAGGTAGGAGAGTATCTCAGCTGAAGAACTTTTAACTGGAGGCATAGTTCTGTTTCTCTCTACCTCAACATACACCTTTTGTTTTCCTCAGAATGGCTGTATGATTCACTAAAAGAAAATGTTCAGGAATCTAATTGTCCAGGAACATCTAACAAGGAAAAAGTTAGGGGGAAATGGCAGGGCCTTAAGAGGGGTTATAGAGTTCTATTCTAACACGAACTTATGGAAATTCTGAACTCTATGTAATGGCTGTAGCTGTGCTTGAATGAGTGTACATCAAGTGCTGGAGTGCTGTGCATCAGACCCATTCTATGACAGGCAGCTACTGTCTTAGAGGCTGGCTCACAACTGAAATATTTCAAGTTAGACCACTGCTCATTTGTACTCTGGAGAGGTTACTCTTTCTCCACTGTTGTGTTCTCAATTACACCAAAATGAAGTATACAAAACTAGGCTGTGCTTGCGTTCCTTCTCCCACAGTATAAATTAAGTGCATTATGTGCACGTGCACATATATATACAATCTCTCAATCCTTCTATACTACTTTATTTTTCTTTCATTACTTCTCTTTCTTTCCCGTAAAAATCATGCTGAATCCTTTCCTGCAGTGTTCTTACTATTTTATTTCCTTTTTCTCCATATGCAAATGACAGGGGTCATTTATCACTCTTCAAACAAGAAACAAAGCCAGCCTTCTAGACAGACACTGAGAGAATCATCAAAGTTAGGAGACCAAAAATGGTTGGTGACATTTAAAGAAGCTTTTAGAATATGAAGTCTGGAGAGTCTGAGGATTTGGGAAGTTTATTTGCATTCAGCCTTTCTTAATTTGAATTCATTATTTGTTTAAAAGAACCCAGAATACTCAGAACAATTCTCTACTAGGTTAGGACTCAACTTTCCCTACCAAGAGCATGCAAATCCTCATAATGAACAAAAGTAACAGTTCTCTTAATTCTTTTTTGACAAATGCAAATATACACAAGCATTCCTCAATACAAACATTCAAAGGATTTTAACCCTGTCTACCTCTATTACATCTGGCTTTTCTCATGATTACTAATTCAATATTGAAGACATTTCTCTTTTTTCTTTCTCTGTCTCAGGAAAGA